GAAAGGTTTTCTGAATGGATGCGAAAGCTTATGGTTGGATGACTGGATTACAGCTGAACAGTCCGTTTTTCCCTGAAAATTGACAGTGCACCGAAAAAGGGGAAAAATTACCCAGCAATGGAACAAAAAATCAATATTGTTAAATTGTCCATAGCTTGTACATATTTTTATTTTTTTCCCCTCTTTCGATTTGAACGATTCTGACGTCATTTGTACCGAAAAAAAAAATCGCCTAAATCGATGGGAAAAATGAAAAAATATGTAGTCAAGAATTTCAACAAATGAGGTGCCCAAAACAACAGAGAGGAAGGAAGGAACGCGAGGAAAAAAGTATTTGAGCTGTTGAAATACAAAATGCCCTAGAAAACGGCAAAAGAAGTTTAGGAACGTAGAAAATGTACCAAAACTGATAAAAGGCTGCCAGAAATTCGAGTAGAGAGTATCGTGCCTGATTAAGAGAGACATTACTGAGAAAGCGGAAACCTTTCGACTAATTGCTATGATCAAAACCCCCCATCTTCTAGTTATCAGTCTGTCCGATGACACTGGCACACATATGCCCCTTTCTTGTCGGTTTTTCACAGAGAAATTTCGCTAAATTTATCGCAGCCCCTCAGCCGATTGCCTCATTTTTCAACTTAGCTCTCGTGTCTCATTATTTAAGCGAATATCACTCCTGGATGAAGGCATGCCAGGCATTAAACACACTGGACTACAGCAGCAGAGATCCGCAGGAGATTTGAGCCACATGATTCACTGGAAGCCTTTCCAATGAATTATGCGGCTCATTTTCGTCAATAAAATGCTACAGAAATGATTTATATCATGCTGAGAAGTGGTTCAAACAATATGTTAAAACAAACAAGAAAAATGAACAAAAAAGAGTAAGGATGTTGCTTACTTTAATGCTCTTCAGTTGCTTTTTTTCTAGGGCAGCTTTGGTGAAACGTCCTTCTTGATACTTGCTCTAAAAACTTCAGCATTTTGATAAACTTTGAATTTTTTATAAAATTTTATGCACTGGAGCTTCGAATTTCAGCAAAAATTTTCAAAAAAAAAAGACGTTAAAATAAAAGAAAAACAAAGATACAAACCGAGCAAGGACCTTCAAATGGCATGCGCGTCAACATTCCCTCGATTTCGTTGCTGTTAACGGCTTTCAACTGGTTATCACAAAGCCTTTTCAAGGGGCGACGCCGCTTGTCTAAACGTACTCGGCATATGTCCTTAATGTTTCTGGTAAAAATCTGTGTAACACAAAAAAAATTTTCACAAAAATCCCTATGAAAAGAGGAAGTGAGAAGCAAGAAAGCTAACCGAGCTCGGACCTTCTTCACAAGGCATAACCGTTAGCATACCGGCAATTTTACTGTCAACATTCGGTGCCAAATTTTCTTCATTACGAATTTTCAACGAATTTTCATCGTTACATCCCAAATAATCGCTCTGAAATTTCTACGAATAAAAAAAGAAAAAATGCAAAATGTAACTCCAAACATCAAAATCATTAAGATCGACTGTACCGTGGATGTGGAACTTCGATGACCACATGACGAGCACAGAACGGCCATGCCCCTCGAGATGCTAATCTTTAAGTCTATAGTTGCCCCCTTTTTTTCGCGCACTATTTTCAAGCATTCTTTGAAAAAAGCCGCTTTCATTCTCAAAGGTACCACTTACCGATACGCCACAATCATTTTTGGAGCAAAAATTCCGCCTACTTTTAAGTGATAAAGCTATTCCTGTGAAAAATCTGCAAGAAAAGATGTCCGAAAATGCAATAATTTATATGTCGGAGCATTTCTGTACCGTGCAAGCTAATTCAGGCTCAATTTGACTATAGCCAGTGGATGTGCAAAAATTTCATGCTGTAAGAATTACCAGTGAGTAAGCTCTGGAAACAATAATAAATTCAATTTCTGGATTAAAAAAGTGCATCTCGAGAGTTTTTATGTGGTTGTTCTAGCTAGATGAATGTAGCAAAAAAACTTACTGTCTCTGGTCGGAGAGGGCCCTCCTCCACTGAATCGACCAATATGCCAGCAAGCGCTCCTTTCTCGGAAAGCTGAATTATTCGAGATAATTGCGTCACAAATTTGTAAAAATGAACACTGAACAAAAAAAAGAAAAAAAATGCTACTAATAAATTGCCTGATGAAACAAAATTCTTTTTTTTTTTTTTTTTGTTTAAGATTGGCTGAGAAAGCTTACCGAATTAAAATAACTTGTATTTCTGGCTTCCTCAACATCACCTGCAAATTCAGGCACAGTAAATTCAATCAGCTGTTAAAATTACTGAAAAAACCACTAACATGGGATCACCACACCGAATGTCCAGGCGCTTTCCACTTTTAGACTTTTATGCATAACCTTCGAACTAGCACAAAAAAGGAAGTCCCAGGCACTAAACGAATGCATACCGTCAACAAAACGGCTTGAGCGACTTGAACTCCGCAAGTTGTATCCATGCGTAACAACCTGAAAATTGCTCATTCCATTTCTTTTTTTTTTTTTACATATTTTTGGCTTTTGATTATGCAGAAATGTATTACACAATGCAAAAAGTTATTTTTAACTCTGTGCTTTAGATTACAGAACATCGGAAATAAACAGTTAAAAAAGCTTTAAGTGCTATACATACACATTTATTTATGCTTACTGAGGCTAGAAAAGGGGAGTGCGGGAGGGGAAGAGGGAGTGAAGCGGATAAGATGCAAAAAGAAATCAAAATAATTTTGCCCTGGCACCATTTATAAAGGACGGCTTAAGTAGATAAATTCTTCCGTTTCCTGCTGGCAGTACAGTCAAAGAATGATTTCTTGCTAGAAGACCTCTCACCTTTCTTTTCCTTCTTTTTTTCTCATTTTCCATTCATTCCTACTATAACTTCCTACTCATTTTTAAAGGCGTGAGAAGTGATGAGGCAAGGAGGACGGAAGAGAAGACAGAATAAGTTCGCGTATAGTTGGCAAAGTGAAATTTTATTCATGCTTTGCTGGAACAAGCTAATCACTGTATAATGGTGCTATTGAAAAATATTGGAAAAAAAAATGCAAAATAGACATACTGTCGTGCAGGATCGCTGCATTTTGGATGTGGTGAACTTGGATAATTGCTGTTCCATATCACATGACCGGCGTGCCCGGGCTGGCCGCTTCCGCAGTGATTTGGATGAGCGCTCCGTATACTCAGCTTCAAAAAGCTAAAAATAATTTTTAGACAAAAATTTATCGCAAAATGAAGGAGAGGGGAAGGGGTTAGCCGACTACAGGCTAACTAAAATCATCGCCCCAGAAACAAAAACGCAAAACTCCCAGTTTATAGCTTTACTGATTCCAAAGCCTGCCTAATTTTAGGCGAAAAAAAAAGGTCAGAAGAGGGGAAGGGAAGCGAAATATTGATTTTAGGCTCCGCAATTTATCGCAGATTATATTCCCAAAATTTGAATTTCACATCCTTCCTTTTTTAGAGCTGGTGGGTATATATAAGCTTGGTAAAAATGCATCCAATACGATATGTTTATTTGTCAAACAAATATACATATATGTGTTAGATATTCAGTGATAATACGTGCAAAAAAAAAAACTCTTATTTAAAAAGAATATAAGAATTTAAATGGCACCAAAATTAATTTTAAAATTAGAAAAAAAGTATACAATTTGCCAAGAAATGTAGAAAACTTTATGGACTGAAACATTTCTTTCCAATTTACTAACTTTTCCAAGCTCAGAATTCCGCCAACTTTCATTTCTTAATTCCATCGCATTTCTTCCTTTTATTTTTTCAATTTTAATTTAAAATTTAACTAATTAACCGAAGAGGAACGTTTCGAAGGGAGGAAAGAGGCGAAAAGCAGTGAGTTCGTACGGATTCGCCTAATTTTGAGTATAGTACTTGGACTGACCTCATTAAGCCGCTGGCACGCCGCTCTGTCGCGTTCGTTGGGCAAATAAAGAACGGGCGACGAGATGTGTGCCTCGCCAAGATTCCTCTGCAGCGCCCGAAGTGCGATTCGACGATCGGCCGAGGGCCCGCAGTATTTCGCACATATGCGAGCCAAATTGAACATATAGCGAGAGCTGGCTTTGCGAAAGCCGATCTGCATACGCTCATCCATCACAGCCATCAGCACACAGCGAACGCGATACGCTCCGGAGTGACGAAGTGGTTCAGATACGTGCAGCTGGCATTTCTTTCACGGTGCTAAAACACGGAAAAGCGAATCGAATACGTGGAATCCAGCCGAACGAGCAAAAACGAGAGAAAAACGCAAAACCTGGCCAGAAAAAAATAATTGGCCAACGTACGGGCTGCCCGTACGAAGATGCGTTTTTCGCATGGTTCCCCGCAGTTTTTGTTGCTATCGGCACCGGTTTTTTCGGCAA